ATTCCCTTTCTCTTAAATGATGGTTTCTATTCGCTCTCTCCATATAAGCATTTTTATTGATTGAAATCATGGGAGTGGTTGTAATCTTTTTCTTTATTCATGTTTTGTCTCATTGATTTTTCTAACAAAGTTTTAACAAGACAACATATGATTACTCAAATTTTTTGATAATTAATTGTACTTTTTCCCTTTGCTTGATATTTCTATCTCGTTGAATTTTTGTCAAATAAGGTTTTTAATGATGCAAATGTTGTATCATTATTCTTAAAGGGTGAGTATTGTAAATTAAATACTATTTGTCAATGATTATTATATCTTTACAATCTTAATTATACGCTAATATGGAATCTTGGTTCTCAATAAAATATTCAAAAATTTTGAATCTTTCTCAATTCTTTTATTTTGTTCTCCTCTCTTAATTTTATAATAAATAATTATTTCTTTTATAAAAAAATTATTGATAGAAAATGATTAAGGGAAACTCAAGGAATCGAAGAAACTAACGAATTGATCAATAAATAAAGACGAGAATTCGAGTTTGATTATAACAATTTTTTATTTTATAATTATTATTACTATTAAGTTTTTCGCAGTAAAATTTATGGGAAAATTAGGTCCAGTACTCTTTTTTTTAGGTGTTTTTTATTAATACCCTTAAACCCTAATTAAACATTTTAATGAAGTATTAATTATGTCAAATTGTGACTTTTTTATATAAAAGTGACATAATGTCACTTTTTCATAGAAAAGTGACGGAATTCACATTCTCCTTTTATCAAACACTTGGCACGCATCAATAATTTAATTGATTCAAAATTTTCTTTTTCATATGTATTACCATAAAACGGGACTTGAATTGGTATGTTCAAAATTCATAAAATGTATACGTATGCATCTAGTTAATTGTTTCAAGGATATAGTGTGGCTCTTTTTGAGAAAAGTGACAGGATGTCACTTTTTCATAGAAAAGTGATAAAACGTCACTTTTTCATAGAAAAGTGGCAGAATTCACATTATCTTTTTATCAAACACCTTACATGTATCAATGATTTAACGCATTCAAAACTATTTTTTCATATATATTGATACAATCCATTTTCTCTGAAGTTCAATAATGTTGTTTTCAAACATGTTTCCAAAAACAATAACAAATGGTTAAACGGGTTCAAGATTCTGGAGGGAGAGGTTAAAGAGTCACAAGACTGTGGAGGGCGTGTGACTTTTTTTTGAGAAAAGTGACTGTCACTTTTTCATACAAAAGTGACAAAACGTCACTTTTTCATAGAAAAAGTGGCAGAATTCACATTATCCTTTTGTCAAACACTTTACATG